TTTATATAATAACGATTCTTCTTTATTTTCATCTTTATTTTTTAAAGATCACGTCAATTAATATAATATTATATAATAAAACATTAAAAAAAAAAAAATATTAATAACTAAAGATTTAAATATAAATTATTTTTAAAATGATGCGAGATGTGTAAAACTCTAAGATTTATGTGATAATATTAATTTTTTTTTTTTATAGCATGAAAATGAAATGATTTAATGCTGTAAAATATTTTTTAGTATCGTGTAACATCTAAGAAAAAAAAAAAAAAAAAAAAAAAAAAAGAAAAGAATTATCTTAAAATTTAAACATATTAAAATTATTTCAAAATTAATTAAATTACAAATTTATTCACAAAAATGTTAAAAAGGAAAAATAATAATATTTACATTTATATATTTCATTTTATTTAAATTTATAAAAATATATTCCTAAATTTCTCTGTGATTATATTTTTTGATACTCTATAAATTTGTCAAAAAAAAAAAAAAAAAAAAAAACCAGTTATCAGTCAACAGATAGTTTTTTTCCTTTTTAATTATTTTTCTTTTTTGTCAATAAAAATGTGCTTAAATGTGATGTATATGTATATATGTGTGTGTGTATGTATGTATGTATGCATGCAAGTGCGAGGTGTTACAATAATACAAAAAATGCAATCTCTTTTTTACAATGAGATCATACGAGTTTGTCTTCTAAACAAAAAATAACATAAACGAATTGTTTTAATTGCGAGCAATTACGTTTTTCACGTTTTTTTCTCATCATTTCTTTATATTCCTTCCAATTGGCCAATTCTTGAATATTTTTTGGGCCCCATTCGGTCGACGGACTGAAAGATTTTGTGAACATCTGAAATCAATGAATTTGTAGTATAATTTCATGTTTATTTATTATTTGAATTTGTTGTTTTTTTTTTCTTTTTTCATTTATGATAACATAATAAAATAATAATTTAAATTGTATATACTTCTAAAATGCCCAAATGTCGTTTGCACATCATCGTATAAATCAACCAAAATGGTAATTGTATTATCCCAAATGAAAACAGTATCCATCCAGCAGCTAAAATTAATAATAAATTTTATATAAATTTATAATAAATAATAATATATTAATATTTTTAATATCTATATATTAATATTAATTAAATTTATTATACAATTTTATTATAAATTATTTTCTAAATAAAAATATAATGCAGTATATATATATATTTAAAGTAAATATAATTATTAGCAAAATAATCAGATCAATTTTATCATCAAGCAGCTAAAATTAATAATAAATTGTATATAAATTTATAATAAATAATAATATATATTAAATTTAATATACAATTTTATTATACACTATTTTATAAATAAAAATATAACTCAACATATATGTTTAATGTAAATATAATTATTTATGAAATGTGTGTGTTTGTATGTGTGATCAGATCTTAAACTACTCTACTTTTTGTGATGATGAACACAATAAATAATAATAATAATAATAATAATAATAATAATATTAATAATATACCATATGCACTTGGAGGATAATAGACACCAGTATAAGTGAGTGGTGTTAGTTCAACAATAGTATAAATTAAAATAATTGCAAGAAGAATTGGTGTGATAAAACCCCAACAAATTCTCCAATAAATCGAAGGCCTTCTCTTCAACATGTATTCAACGTCGTCTAAGAAATTTTCTAATCCGTAAACCCAAAATATTCCAGTAACTTCAAGTGTAGCCAATACGAACACGATAAAGGAA